TTCAGTTATAGGTGCACGTGCTTCGTGTAGAAATTAGACGTATTTCAAGTTATTTATTATCAGATTTTTGGTTTCTTTTTTCGCCAAAATACTTTGTATAGATTTAAGTTTTGTCGCTGCGAGAATAACATATATATATATTCAAAAACAATTGCACATTTTAGCACAACACAAAGAGCGCAATGCAGTACAACTCGAAACGTACGATGAAGCGTAATTGAGAACATACGATAGGATTCGAGCTCACGTAAACGTCTTCAGAGACATCAACTATAAATTACATTTCCTCAATAGAACAGAGATTGGAAAACGGTTGACGAAAATGCAAATTTGTGCTATCATTAAATTACTTGGGAGAAAGTGGAAAACATGACCTGGATAAGGAATGAGACATTGTTAGAGGTAAAGTAAATCTTTTCATTCTGGAATGGTGGACGAATGAAACTGAATCAAGCAGTATCAGATGCTGTTATGTTCTATATTAAACCATTTTGGCGATTCTGCAATAGCTATGATGATACAGTGATATGCAGAGATTATCAAACAGTCTCAGTCTTAAGTTATCATTACGACAGCTTTGAAATCAGTTCAATACAACAGTATTCATATTCTGGCCCATTTACAATAGAAAGATAGATGTTTTCAACCATTTCTAGCAATAATAAATATCAATCTTCACCCTTAACTTTTTAAAAGGTTAAAAATGAAGAGCGATTCTTGTAATGTATTTAGCGGTACTAACTTTTAGCATTATAAAGTAGGGAGATATTACTTTATTGCATTTGTATATGTATTTTATTCTAAAATTCCTTTTAAAAAAAAAAAAACCTAAATAAAATATAAAATTTTCAAAAGCACCTAATCATTCGTGCTGATAATTTTACGATGATATAATTCGTATATTATCAATGCTTTTATAAAAAATTTATTTGCACTAATCAGTAGGCAGTAGTTTGGAGGAAAATTCAAATAATTTTTTTTTTCTATTTTTGGCATTAGATACATCTAATCGATTTCAAAAAGAAAGAGGTTGTCAATGAAATAACCAATAACGTTTAACAAATCTCACTCAATAAAATAAAAGAAAGCAAATTTTATAAAGTATCCTTTTTTAACAAGCCTCTAAGAATTTGCTAACAAATCCATTACATATAGCATCTGCTATTATTTTCACCATCATGCATCTTTTTTCAAGCACACATTTCATTGGTCGGAAAAGAGATAAAAGATTGATTTGAACCAAACCTAAGACGCCAAAGAAAAGCATTAAGCAAAAAAACATATTGTCAATCCTGTTTCTTCTTTTATCTGTCTATGAACAATGTCAATCAATATGCCATTGTTTAATATCTCTATAATTTCTGATGTAAAAAATTCGTTTGCATCTGAAGATTCTAAGTTCGATATTCAATTATAAAATGAATACAATATTCTCATAATTTCATATGCTATTATCGACTACTCTTATGTCCACGATATTCCGCGATTGCTAACGATCATATAGACTTGTTGTATAAAGTGGAATATGAGAAAGCAGTGTAAAAACGCTAATAGAGAAGTAGGATAGGTGGACATTTCCCACGTAAAGTTGTCCAGTTATCTTTTACAACATGTCAGATTGAGTTAAAATAGGTCGAATCGAAAAGTCGAAAAAAGTATATCCTAGAAAATCTAATACTGGTCCTTTTTTATTGATTTTTGGAAGCATTTTTGGTTTAGATATATTTCTGGGGAATAAAGATAAAAACCGAAGTACTATACAACAAATTACAATGAAAATGAAAGGCATATGAAAAAAAATGAAGCACACAACCTTATACGAACCCAAGTGAAGAACAACATATAAGCTGGTAAGACAGAATATTAACAAAGGTTTCAGATGACTTCGAAACATTGCAACAAATCTAAATCTACAAATTATAACTAGGAAAAGGAGTGACAGGATATTTCTACTTAAATTTCATATCCAGTTGTACAGTTGCTGAATAAGTTTTGGCCATAGTTGGTAAAAATATAATGGAAAGTTTTAAAACTTGGAATGAAAATAAAATTCCAACAATAGCAACAAAGATAACAGCGCAAATGATAACGATAATAGCAGTAATTATAATAGTGGCAGCAGCAATAATTTTACAGACCCATACTTCTTTGGTTTCTAATATATAACATCTAATAAAGTTAGAATCAATCAAAAATTGTGTCAATATTTTCTTGTTGAGATGAATTTTTTAAAATCGTCTCTTATTTTGAACTACATTGCTTGCTCATTTCTATTTCATATAATATTACAATTGATTGAAGCAGAAATATATATCAGTTATTAATGGTAATAACAGTAGACATAGAAATGATCGCAATAATTAAAATGATTTAAAAAAACTCGTCTCGACAAAAAAGTAACAGGAATGTTTGATCGATTTTGGATAAAATTTGGTTTTGCTGGATGAATCCAAAAAAGCGTGAATCTTTCTCTAATTTTATAGAAGAAATCACTTTTCCGCGTCAATAATGAAGTTCAGTGAAAGGGTACAACAAATCCGGATTATGTCAGGATTGCAGTGGACAATGCTTAAGTAGAAATATATGGAAAAAAACGTAAAATTACAAAACAGAAGTTACAAGCAAAATCGATTTAGTAAAAGTCAAAATCATGAAAGAATATGAAGGAAAAAAATATTACTGACAAATCAAAGAATAAGTGTAATTAAAAAGATCAAGGATGAATAAAAATGTTTAAGGATGTACTCCACAATACTCATTCATTCTCAGATCACTGATCATTGCACGAAAATAGTACTGTATTTCCTACATCTCTTTAGCCCTCTCTCAGTAGATTTTCTGAAGCTGCAAGTCCTTGATGCCAGACGATAAATTATTACAATTAGCTAAGAATGACAATTGAATAAAATTTCTAAACATGAATTGTTCAGTGTAGCTGCAATACTATTACTTTCAGCGATGATATAAAATTAACATCTGAATATAATCTAAAGAAGTCGAGAATATAATAAATTAACAATAATAATATCAATTAAATCAGAAACTTAGAAATGAAATAAAACTGACTATAAACAACTAATAAACAACAAGTAGTTTTCAAAACAATTGAAGCAATGGAGTGAAAAAAAAGCAATTGATAAAAGAAATCGTATTTGGGAATTCTCTGGGAAAAATATCGTATTTTCTTCTGGACAAAGGCATCGAGAGAGCGAAACAACAAAAACGCTTTACTTCAATCAACCGAAAAAGGAAAATCTGAAGCCCAGAGCACTAACCTCTACTACCAGAATGAAGAATATGTGAAAACTGTCCATATGCAAAAAAAACTATTACATTCTTATAGTGAAAACACCAGACAACACTGCTTGCAACTATAAGCAGATTTACAGGCACATGAGAGAAGCAAAATTCTAGTGAGAAACCTAAATAATGAAGTGTAGAAAAAATAAGATGGATGAATGGAATATCCTTCAAAATGATGTTGTGTATGATCAAATAATACATTATTAACAACGCATACTTTTAGCATAGGAAAAAATTTGCGGAATTGGAAATTTATTGAATTAGTTCAGCTATTTAAAAAAAAAAACTGCGCAATGCAATTCTAGGTATTTGAAAAGACCAATAAACAAAAGGCTTCATTAGAAAATCCCTACTTTAGGATTTGACTTTAGAAACCTCACAGTAAATACTAGTACTTATTTATCTATGATACAAAGCCTTATAGTCCCACAAAATCAAACGAAAACTTTGAACACAGATTAAAACCCTACAAAAGCTGATTTTCATGTTGCATGCTTTTAATCACGATAAATCAGCCAAACCATATTATTTCTATTTACCAAACTCGCAAATCATCTACTATGCTTATCTCTCCATTTTGAAAAAGAAGTGTTTGAGTCGGCGGAGACCAAAGCGACATTTCCCAAACAGATTTTGGCTGAAACACCATTTGATCTTAGGGAAAAGAAACTTGAAATTTGCCATTCTTCTTAATAATAATAATAAAAAATATAACGAGGTATTTGAACTCACCTCTTCTTCCCAAGTTTGATATTTACTAATCAGTTCTCGCAATGATTGTACTAGATCGTGATTAGCGAATTCCACCGCGTTTGAACTAATATATGAAATAGACATCTTTTAATTGAAGAATTTGTAAGAAAATAGCATAAAACTATATTTGTTTCTTTGAAAGAATAAGATTTAGAATAAAGAGTACAAGAAACAAAAAATATACTTTTTTGGATCAAGAAGTTCGCAGCCTTTAATTCTTTGACATATGATCCTGTTCAGATGTTCATCGAATAACGGTACGCCAAAAACACAGTCAAGCAATGTGTAATCCGCATATGTTTCGTCATGTCGCAAATGAACTCGCATGCTCGTAACTTTCCTACGGATTTCAGACTTCATAAATTTTTCAAACTAACCTGTTAACACCCAATTTTTCATATCTGACGCCATATGGTCATTTGGTATTACAGCTATACCCATTGCGAAGCATTATCAATTATAGTAACCGAATAACGCACTTCGAATTTTACTGCTTATTTTTTCAGTTATGGTTCCTCTGTTAAAAGTCCCACGATCGCTGACAATGCAAAGAAAGAAAAATTATTATAATACTCAGAAACAAACAGCAGAACACTGATAGCAATAAGTTTCTATGAAAATCAAAGAGGAAATTGAGACCTTGGATCTTTGCTGACTGTCGTGCTATTACTTTTTCTATTTTTATCAGACTGCTCTTCCCATTCAGCAGTCTTCTTTTTGCATAACAACGTCAAATAACCACAAAGTGAATTTAGTCCCAACTTTTCTCGAAGTTTCAGCACCGAAGGATGCAATGAAAAGTGACCTATAGAAAATTTAAAAAGATTAAAAATAACTAATATGAAATAGAACCTTTAGGTTAAGTAAACAACAAAATAGACATGATAGATATTTTGGGTAGCTTCTTACTTTTTTTGTAAAATTTTTTCAGCACTCAAATTTGATAATGAAGAATATGAAAAATTACCATCTGTTAAGCAGGACTCACTAAATGGGAATGGGACACTTACAATCTCTGAGTCATCAGTCACAGCACTATATTCCTGAAAGCATGCTTTTTCAAGCAATTTTAAATTATGAAGATTTTAAAATTGTTAAAATTATATACTAGAAAAATTACTTCTCTTTCACTTATGTCAAGTCATTAAAAGAAGAGAGACGAATCTAACAGCTCACTTTGAATAATGAAGTAAAGAATGTGCAACTCCGATATTTTAAGATTACTCAAGAAAACGCCGGATAAGCTACATTACAAAAAACTGACGAAACCTAGAAAAAACAGACATACCACATAAAACAAAGTGACCTTAAAATAAGCTAAAAATCGACATCTTTTAATTTCTTTAATGAAAATAATATTAGCATAAAAGTGTACTTGCACAAATACTGCATGCATTTGAAGTATGTCATTCAACTGAATTAAACAGTTATCAGCTGGAACGATAATAGGTTCGTGCGAAGCAGTCGTGATCAGTAAATGCTTGCATCGTCGTAGAGCACAAGGAATGACTGGCACACGTGAGCCCTTGGGGATATACAATGAAACTGGTCCATCACCCAAGGTATAATACAGAAACAACCGAAACCATGATGAAACCACCTGCAACAGCTGTTATGAAGCGCTTCTGGTGGCATAGAATATATATATGAATTTTCTTTATCCTGGAAAACTTTCTAATAAGCTACTCACAAATGCTCTCCGAATTATAATCAATTCAGTCCTTTTATTAAAAATAAAAATAAAAATCAACATACTTCTGGAATGACAGTTCCAAAGTGAGGAATAGACGGCACAGATAATGGACATGCTTCCCCACTTAACGGAGCCATTGAAACCAAACATCTTAACTTCAGTTTCAAGTGTATGTTTAAACAAATGAGAAAAACTGATTTACTAACCATGAATCTGTTTTCCAAAGATGGTGATTAAACATACTTGAAAAAACTTCTCTCAAGTTATATTTAGTTATCTTGCGTAAATGACTCTAACCTGTATGTTTTGTTGATAAGGCGCAGACGTGTAGAGTGATCTAGCGATAATAAACTTTCACCCCTAATTAAATCCAATTCAGAATTATTTCGCAGTGCAAGAATCGTTAATAACAACGTTTGAGCATGTTCTGAATATCTTTGTGCTTCACCTTCCATAAACAGCTTCACCTGAATCAACAATGTCACTACAAATGGCATATTATACTTCGAGTCATTCAATAATCATATGTCTTATTATGATTATGAGAAAATAACTGCCATTTTACCTTTAAATATTGAACAAATTTAAATTGATAAAGACAACAACTTACATTTTGCAACTCTTCCACGAAACTATCCAATGACTCATCACTCAATTTTCCCACTTCAAATAATGTTACCGCATGATTTTTTAGACTCTATAAAGAGAAAGCATTGAAAAAGAAAACTCCAAGTAATGAGAAATAATTAGCAGAACTTTGAATATCATCGCAACACTCAAATTCATGATAGAATTCGCAAGCTTATGCTAAGCATTCATTACATTGATTTCCATAAAAATTTGCATTTATCTTTTTTTTTTTTTCATTTATTGTTCAAAAGAAAAAAAAACTTACGACTGATAAGTTTCCCATCATGAGAAAAGCAGTCAACGATGAGTCAAAGAGAAATGCAATTCGTTTCGTAGCCTCGCTTCCACCACTAGGAGTAGGAGTTGGTAACGATAACGACTAAAAGAGCGTATCAGAACTAAAGTAAACAGAAGGATAAATTTTAAATCTAATTTGGTTAGAAAATATACCAGTACCGTAAATGATGCTGTAAGCACATCATGGTTCATCAATAATCCATCTATACTGGATTCATTTTCGTCATCTTCATCGGCACCGCCTGGAGAAACTAATGATGTGGAAAAGTCTGAGAGATCAGATGTGATTGCTGCAGTTGAATCTTCGTCCATCCTATTAAAAGTCAAAAGTGAATAATACATTTTCAAAACCACAATAGAAAAAACTAGAAGAGCAAAATGGGATAATGAAAGACTCATGAATTTGCAGGAGCTATTTAAAAAAAAGCGATTCGGTTGATGAATGTGTTTTAATTTTGATAAATAGGTGAAAAAATTTCTATAGAAATATAGATGTAGAATTAAAATAGTGAACATTGAACAAAGAAGCTAATATTAACATATAATAAATTATCAAACGGAGTTTCCAAAAATTACCACAAAAAAGAGAATAGAAATTGATAAAAACTAGACACATTATTTTACTAAAGAAAAACACCGACGCGTGGAAATGGGCAGCTCTAGTCATAGAAATACCGATAAATGCTTTGCATGTCACTTTGCGGTTAAATCACATTATATTAATAAACGATGCAGAAGATTTGACGACCACAAAAGAAAGCATAATCTATTAGATAAATTGTCGATAGAGGGTTCGTTGGGATCCATAAGACTGTAAGCGGTTTGATATCTCCTTATCAATGAAAGCGTAAGTTATCTCGAAAATTATAATACTCACTCTGGAATGATCATATGACTTGCCCATGTTACGTGCAACGCAAGATTTTCTAGCCCAGTGATACGCTTCTTCGCGAAACCAAGCCGGCAAAAGACCGAAATGGCATTTTTTACCAGTTGTAAATCGATATTCAGAGTTTCCGAAAGCTAAAATTACTGAAAGTAGTAAAATTCATACCAAGTGATTAAAAACCTTATTAGAAAATTCTATTAATTTTTGTTAATAACTTTTCTCATGTTGCATTATTGAATAGCAAAATGAAAAATAGAAAATTCGAATAATTTAAAATGTACCTCTCGTACAGTTGTTTGCTCGTCGATAGTAACAAATATTTGATATAGCAAATTTTCAAAATAATCACCCAGAACTCGATTCATAACAAAACCATCCAAAGTTGGTACTGCAAGGAAAACAGATATGTTATGCGTTGTCATTGAAACTGACTATTACTATTCCTATGTAGTCCGTACCGGGTAAGGGAGAGGAATTTGGCATTCCACGGACTGAATCTTGACTTCTAATCTGGAAGGTCAGTGAGACATCTTTCTAAACGTATAAGAACCCTTGGGTAATATTTAGGAAAAGGAAATGAAAATAAAAGAAATAAAAGGAAGAAAAAAGATAACTGAAAACTTAAAATCATTACTGAGCCTAAACAAAAGAAAAACTTAGAAGGAGCCTTTTATTCATTTTGTGAATGCCGCTAAATGATTCGCCATTATTATTGCTTGTTGATAATTTCAGCACAACCGAAGATAAAACCTCGATTTTTTCTTTCGTGAATTAGTTTTAAATCTATGCATGGAACAGTCACATAGGATTGTTATTTTGTCTATGGAAGTTGATTAATAAATAGTAAAACATAAGAATCAATACCATAAATGTAATCGTCATCGTTAACTGGCACCTCCAGATAAGCCAGACCACGATTATAAAGTTTTTGCACCAATTTTGCATCAAGAGTACCAACTAACTGAGCACCTTCATCGATAAGCATATCTAACAAATCTTTCTCATCCCTATCCAGTAACTGCAATACTTTCAATATTGGTTTCCAACAAATGAAACTTTCAGGCCTCAAACATACAAATTACTGTCAGCTAAGCAGTTGCGTTATGAATGTTATCACTAGTGCACAGTGGAACAATCTTTAAGAAATGGAAAGCTAAATAATTGCATGAATTAACTTTATATAAAGGAAACAAGAACAGATTTACTTAAATATTTTTGATTAAAAGGTTCAAAAGTATTACTTTAACATCATTTTCTAGAATACAGCACGGTGCGAAATAAGAAAGGGAAGAAATAAAGAAATCGAATTGTTGAGAGTTGCAAGTAGAAGTTGATACTTAAACTTACCTTGACATCACTTTCAAGGATACTGCCTGGTGCAATCAACCACCAAGGTTCAATGTTGATCGCAACAGGTTTTGCTGGCAATAATTCACGCAGTGATTTACTTTTTCGGAATATTTTTCGATTACAACGATTCTGATTCATTAACTCAATGTATTGATTCCTGCCGATTCCCAACAGTCTCATTGCATCGGCAGCCGTAAAATTTGGCAACGAATCATAACTTTTTTCGGCATTCATAAGATTCTAAAAACTATTTTCTCCCACTATCAATCATATCTCGGAAAGTTTTCCAAACTAAAGTTGGATATAATATAAAGGAGGAATATATCCATGTGCAGGAATTAGCCACACCATAACGAAATTGCTATGAAGTATATTGATGAAAAATCAACAATATTTGTTAAATTTTAAAACTAGGACAAAAAATTAGGAAGAATACACCGTAAAACTATTTTTTCAAAGTATTACCGCCATGATGTTGATATAATAACTAAATGGCGTCATTCGAAGCTCGCGTACTATGATATTTGAGAGATGATACGGATAAAGCATAAGATGAGTTTCGCTGTATTTGAGAAGAATATCATAATAAGTTTCTTCATTCTTCTTCACATATTTCACTAAAATATCAGAGTGCAGGTTAGTAACAAAAAGCCGCCTTTTCATCTCAACGATTAAAAATAGCCGAATTGGTGGAATCTATTTTGGATAGGGCAAAATAATAACCACAACTCAGCAAGTTACGAACTCTGAATAACTACAAAGTCTAAAACATAGGAAATCCCGGAATCGAGAGAGAATCTCAATTAATCCCATAAGCAAAAAAGGAACACACCTATGTTACCCTTATACCTTAACTGATTTTTGATTGAATATTCGAGTACGAGTTTATCATATTCTCTTTGCGAGTTCCCCAAAACAATTCGAATTTCTTGGGGCAATTTCGACCAAACAATATTCTGCCTGATGTACTGATCCACATCCTTATCCGCCATGCAATCTACAAAACTTAGCATATGTTATATTTCAACTGTTAAATCTCTTTATGATGGGAGAGAGTTTACAATCCAACAAATTTAATCTCCTGTCGTTTGCACAATGAAATGAAATTGCGATTTTCCAAATCACTCTAATTCACAGTAGCATTTAGGAATAACAAAGCAAATTTCAATAAAATATTCTGGCTAACACGAAACTTTAAGCAATGAAGTCATGAAAATATACAAAATCTTTTACTTCCAGCAACAACTTCATACCAAAGCTTACTCTCAACAGTTCGTTTAATCACAACGCAATTAATAAATATGCTGATTTAGAATAAATTCTGGAGGTTAATTTTTCCTCCAATGATTATTCACAATAAAATTAAAACAAATATGCGAGAATGGTCACCTAATCCTTTATAATCACAACAATTCAAAAACTCAAATTTTGGAGGCACCGGGAAACAGAAAATCGTAAGAAATAGCTCCAGATTCAACTGCTACAAAAATTACTTTATACAACATACAAAATACAAATATCTCAGGTACTCAATTTCTCGAAAGTAATAACCGGTTCAAAACTGTGCGTTCGACGGCAGTGCACAACAAAACGATCTTTTCGCCAAAATTTAGCTCTACAAAACTCTTCCGGACATTCGAATGGTTTCAGCTTCAAATGCTCTCTAAATATATGCGCATCCATATTTTTTTTATCTGCATAAGTCGTCCCACATTTTTTACATGTGTATGGTTTTTCGCCTATAAATTAATTAAATTTCAAAGAAATGAAATTTTCACTCGCCTGCATAATTTTTGCGCATTTACAAAGTAAGATTTATAGAAAACGGTTATTTCTGTGAAATCAAACAACTCTTACTATAATCTACTATCGAAACTGAAAAATTCTCTTCGACTGTCAGAGGAAATCAAACTGTATTTCAAAAACCATTAACAGGTCGCAAGAAAAACAAAAAACACCTGTGTGGGCTCGAATATGCCTGACAAGATTGCTCTGCACTTTGAAAGCTTGATTGCAATATTGACATTTATAAGGAGTTTCCAAAGTATGTATACATCTGACGTGTTTTTCAACCGCACTTTTCTCTTTCGTCCGATGATCACAGAATGGACATTTGAAGGGTTTTTCCATCATTACCTGAGATCCAACTAAAGTTTAGCAGTTAAGAAAATATATGTCTGAACAAAGATCACGACTACCTAATACTGAGCAAATAAAGGCAATGAAATTTATAAATGAAAAATGAAGTAATGTAAATAATCTGCTATATTCAGAGTGTATAAGATAACATTAGACAATACAACTGTTTTAATCATCATAATTTATAAAGAACACAAAAAAGAATAAAAAAAATATGAATAAACCTTTTGATCACCGACTAACAAAGGCACAGTAACATCTTTGGGAGCAATAATTTCGGGCAAACCATAACCGAAACTGTCAAACAAATGATGCTTTTTAGCAGGTGGAATATATGACACCGTCACTGCAGAGACATTTCCAAAATCATTATTCTGCATAGTATCATAACTTGCTGATGCTTCTTCCACATCTAAAATTACACTTGCTTATTAATATCTAATTTCGATAACAAAGATTAAGCATTTAATTATAAACAAACTTAACTAAACAGATGTGAATTTATTCTCGAAATTTTTTCCAAACAGGCGACTCGATAAATGCACCATCGCACAACAATGCATGCCTTCATAATTTAAGTAAAAGATCCTGGCACATATATTCACATATCTTATAACAGAAATAAGCTTACGAGAGAGCTTTCTATCTTTTTTCAACTGCAACATAAACCGTTTATGTCCATATGTGCCACCCTTACGACCTCGACTTGGTCCAGAAACAAATTTTTCATAAATATACATGTAATCATTTGCTGCCTTCGCAACAGCCATCCCGCTTTGTTTCATTTCATCTTCTGCAGTCTGTATTTCATCTAAAATATTTATTTGAACCAATGAGATTAATCTAATTTTATAATTCTCATTGGTTCTATCAAGGAGCCATTTTTCAACTGTAATTTAAAGATATAATAAAGAAATTTTTAACTTAAATATTATTACAAAGTTGTAACTATAACTCTAAGTAGAGTTATAGTTACAACTGAGCATGAAGATCCACTCGGACAATCACTTTCACTAATAAATTTCCGAAAATTCTCTAAACCATCCATATGAGAATTATACAAAAAAGTCAAAAAGAAAATACTTTTCTAAAAAGCCATTTAAAAAAAGAACAAAAACGATACAAGTTCAATTCATTTATACCTTTATCTATATAATTAGAAGCTTCCTCCATAAGATCTTCAGCACTGGTTTCCACCAAATTATTGTCATCATCTTCATCTTCGAAGTTTGGACGGTTTATAGGAGAAATGTCAGACTCGCTATTTTCAATCAAATTTCTATTGCCTATGGGGCTCGAAAATCCATAAATTGCATTTGTCACCAGCATTTCATCATGATCATCTAAAAGCTTTGTCTCAATATCTCGAAAGAAATAGAAATATGATATATTTCTCTAAGTGATCAAAATTTTCGGTATTTAAAAGCAATCTGAAAACTTTTTACATAACACTTAACAAATATATAGTATGTTATTGTCTTACCAGTACTATAACAATCTGTTTCGGAAGCAATTAATTCTTCATCGATAGCATCAACTAATCTAGCCACACCCAAAGTAACAGCAGCCTGTCGTAATATCTTATGACGCCTCGATGTAGTGCGGACTGACCCGCTGTATAAAAAATCGACTATATTCCTCAAATCCACACTAAAAGATAGGTATTTTCAAAAGCACAAAGATAGAAAGGGATTCCATAATATATCATACAACAAAGACAGTTGCAGCAATAAATAAATACTGCCTATATTTAAATCAAAAAATAAGCCTGCCTTGCCGACAAGCTTTCCATACCTACTCACACCCGTAATTTGGGGATCTATGTCAACAGTAACAATGGCACTTTTCTCGGTACATGCAAGTGCATTTTCAAAATGAGTACTGAACGCACAAAGCATCAAACGATGACATCGAAGAATCACTCTGCTCTAAAATTAAAAAAGTAATATAAGATATCAGTTATCCAAGCTCTAAAAGTTTGGCTGTGGAATAGTATTATTGAAGAGAGTTTACAAATTATTTTATGTTACACTGGTAAAATTATTTTAGTGATAACTTTTTTGTTTGCTTTCTAGCTTATCATTTCAACGAAAGAAAATCCTCGATATCACTGGCTTTACAATTTACACATCAAGAAAAATTCCACATCCACAAAATACGGCATCAGTACAAAAACGTTTACCTGACTACTCACGAAGCAATCGATAAATTTTCCTTGAGTTTTAAAGCGATAGATTGCTTGTAACAGTTCTTGAGCATGATCTGGATTTTCCAAATCCACATTCCGATAAATCTGAGCTTCTTCACTTTCTAGCAGTTTAATCAGGGAATCACAACCAAGCGCATTTGCAACAAAAAGTGTCCTACTTTGAGATCGATTGCTACAACGTCCAGTATACATATAGTTTACCAATGCTCGAAGATCATCCATTTCCACACCTTAAATATAATTGACTAGCAATTAAAGACTAACTAGTAAGTAGGTCTCAAAAAAAAATTTTTGCACTAATTTTTTAGAGTGATTTATTACATTTTATAACAAGTATGTATGTTGGTCGGGAAAACAATTGGATAGAATAGCCTACCTGTAATTTTCGGATCAATGTTCAAGGTTATAACTGCAGAATCTTGAACACTAGTAAGAGCTGCATCCAAATGTCTGCTATAAGCAGCTAGAATAAGGCGATGAGCCGATATCGCATAATTGCCGTTATTTTGAACAATAACGTCCAAAAAACGACTCGTCTACAAAAAAAATTGTAAATAATGCAACATAAATTATGCATAAATATATATTCAACGGCTTGCATTATTTATTAAAACAATTAAAATGATCTAAACAGAAGTTCCTAAGATTGATACTTCTGATTTTATCAAAGATCTCTTATTCTAAACTGGCTTCTTCCCTATGAGACACTTAATCAAAAGTATTTGACAGAAAGGATTTTGTGAAGAGGAAAATTTTCGAAAAAATAATTGATGAAACAAACAAACATTGTGTAAGTGCTGCATATAGAGGAACAGCGTATCGCAGTGAGATCGTATCCGTAAAAACGGTATCTTTTCCAGGCCATCCTCGAGTCTCAACTTTTCCATTGTCCATTAATAATGCTTATCTCGTGCTACACAGTTGTAAATTTAAACCACTTTCAAGAAGAATAATATCAATTAGTCTAACTTTACACACATAATTCAGTGCTCATCAACGGAGTTTACTACTACAATAAGAATAATTTGAGGTGCCATACCTTCATAACATTTGCCTTTTAGTTTCCAAACCAACAACCCTAGAAAAGCAAGAGGAAGGTGATGGAAGAAGAATGGGGGATCGGAATTATATGTATTAATTTTCAAGAATAATATCTGATCAGAAAAAAACCTCATAGCATAGTATCCCTCATAGCACTGCAACATCCTGGACACATTGGTATGGACATGTAGATGCGTAAACAATTCAAATAATTACTGTATGTTTATAACAAATACTGAAAAACCAGATAACAACTACATCCTCCTCAGAAAACATCCACACTCAAGTTAAAAGTTATGACGCTTTAAGGCTGTTACAGCTACGAATCCGGTAGAAGATTCAAACTAGATTCTATCATTCAGTGATACTCACATCATAAATGTTCAAAGATAGGTATTTTGATTTGATGTGAGCAATTCTTCCGCCATTCATTTCTTCAATTCTTAATTAAAATACAAAAGGAACAGCAAGCTTGATTTAGCCATTGTTTTCTTTGCGTTTGAAAATTTTTAAATTCCATAACCACAATAAGTTTTCTTGCGCTACAACACATAAAAAACATAAATAGCTCGCATAAGCCTTTCGTTTACTTCACTCCAGTCATTTTGTTGTGTGAAAAACTATAACTGTGACACAATGGCGACAATGCTATACAGCAACATGTAAAATAGAACATATATTATAATAATCAAATAGGTACTGCAATTAGATTAAGGTTACTTCTTCACCATATTTCCAAACATTAACATGTTCTTCTAGCACTTAGCACAAACTGACAAATCTCACTAATGCAATTTCACAAGAACTTACAATAAAAAGTTACACCGCATTTTGAAAATAGTAAGGCAACAAAAAAAATGTAAAAATGAATAATTCCCTTGAATAAGATTGTGAGCAGCGCCCACAATTGAAGCGGCAATATTGGGAGATATAAGACTGTACAGACCCGAATAAATTCTGAAGAACACTGACTATCCTGCAACTGCTACTTATTATCACCTAATACTGCTTAAAAAAATTTCAAATATTAAAACAAATCGACAATGATATTATTATAATAATCAAGCAAAAGAAGATGTAAGAAACTCAAAAATGATGCATACATTATTAAGAAGCATTATTCTGTGAGATCACTAAAAACTACATTCAATGATAATTCGTCAACCTGCCCTACGAAAGAAAACATGGTTGTTGCGCCGCGGGATGCAATGAACTGAGAACAAGCGCTGGATCTGAGAATGCTTGTGATGATGACTTTTCGGCAATTGAACTTGACCTAGATGAACTGTTGAACTGATCAATTACCCATTCCAATCCTTTTCGACCCTTGAATGACCAGTTATTACTTTTTCACTGTGGATAGAAATATGCAAGTTACCAAATCAAACATAAGAATTATCTAAGCATCACCGATGTCATCAAGATAATTTTTTTAATTTGGTTATTGTTAAAATTTCCTTAATCATTCTATGAATATGTGTTATTCTTATCTACTACGAGGATTTCGGTATAAGTCAGTTTTGTATTTGACTAGAAAAGTATGCCGATAAGAAACAATAATCAAGGACTGTCACGCATATAATCCACCAGAACAAATTGAAATGAGAATTTCGAGCAAATTTAAATGAATAAAATCCAAACATTCATTCTTTCTTGCTTGCGTATTTCACTTCCTACCTACGAAGAGTAACCTATTAACTGGAAAAGTTTCCATTTATTTCAATCAACGAAAATTTTTATATACAGTCGGAGAAAGTGAAAGGGTTTGAAATTGAAAATATTCAGAACTTGGGTACTATTCACTGAAAAATTTGCAATACGTAATAGCTATCAAATCTTCACAGACTTTGAATGCTAACAAAAAAATTGGCAAGAATTTTATAGTAGGATAGATCACCTTTTCAGCATTCATTTCATATATATTCAAGAACATTTTTTCGCAGTAATCTGCAAATGCTGGCAAATCGACATTGACAGAAGCTTCTTGTTGCAATATCGTCCTGCAATCATCCTAAGACTCAACTTTGCTGATTAATTCTGAATCAGAAAAGAAGAAAAATGGATACTGAATAACAAAAAATACCTGTCTTCATTGTAAGGATCAGGTTTATATAACAATCGTTCATCAACACGCAGGAAACGTCCCGCATTCATCTGAAAATTTTCCATTATTGAAATGCATTACATAATTCTTACATAATTCACGCTTGAAAAATAATTGGTACATCTTGCGCATAAAGCCAATACCTCTATTTAACTTGCTTACCAATCTATCAAAATCCTAGAATGAAATTAAGTGAAGGAAACAAAATGCGATGGAAAACAAGTTCCAACTCGTAAACAATCTGTAACATGGGAATGATTTGTAAAGATTATTTGAAATCCGGACAAACGACTTACATTTCTCGTGATTAAAGTCATTTCTTTCTTTGCCGGATTAATTTCGGTCACTTCATAAGAGTACTGAGTTCCAGAAAAACCTGTCAGCTACAACAAGAAAATAAATTGGTAAGCATAAAAATATGATGAAAACCCGGTGGATTGACAAATGTGAAGAAAATTAAAAATCATACAATTTCTTATTCAAACAACAGATTAATAAACTAAAACTAAAAAGAGACATTTCCAATCACTGGAAAAGCCATAAAGGATAGGGTAAAGATTAATCAAGCAAATCCTAACCTTTGTTACCCAAGCAGGTATTGGAAAATGGCTCTGGATAATGCGTTCAGATCGTAATGAGCCATCAACAAGCGGATGCTGTCTAACGACATCAATTCCACTAACAGCGCAATTCATTGGATTCGGATATTTGCACCATGCTGCATGTGCTACAGTATCCCAAGGATGGCTAGAAAAAGTTAAAAAACATAATTTGAGAAAACTTATCCCTGATGATGAGTTACAGCACAACAAAATGAACCCAAATAAGTATGATGCTGACCGTAAAATAACACTCCTTAAAACTTACTCGAAAACATGCTCAGATGTCCAAAACTTCATCTGTCACTGCAGCTAATAATCCAGTCGAATATAAATAGAGATCTAGAATAAAGAAAGAGGACATCAATAAATTTAGCCGAAAACAAAATTTATGATCGACGACCACACGTACACAATCGCAGATGTTATATTATAGTTCAGTTTATTTAACCTACTCTAAATTTCGTAACTCTCACAGTAAAATCATAAGATTTTGAGATGTGATAATATTAGCGTAATTTTTATATTTAAGTAACACGTCTTGAATATGCACAGTTTACTCAAAATTTTAAACATCGATCAAACATCACTAACCAGCTATACAACTCCACATCTGCTATTATATCCATCACGTTTTATGCCAGCTACGTCACAAACAAACGTATACAATAGGACGAACCGCAAAATTCAGGAAACATGGCGCATACACGTCTAAGCTCACGTTTCAGAAGTGGGTGATGCGATGTTGGAGGGATTGTTAGTTGTAATGGGGAATGGATCGAGAGTACATGTACGTGACCTTCAACGATGCTACATGATGGGTAAATCAAGAAATGACACATAGGCAAACATGAAAGGATTGTTCATAAATGCAAAGAAATTGCTTTTGAAATTGCATTGCTTTTTATTCAGAATGTACATGCTATTACCGCTTTTGTTTATTGTGTATTTTTTGTCTGCCTAATCATTTCCTGATGCTAACCCTAAGAAAATCCCTGCAGTTATCCTTCCTACTGATACTTAGTACGATGTAACTTTTCGCTTGAATTTCTCTATTGTGATAAAGGTCAAGTTCCATCCATACAAAGAATGAAAATACATAATCGATATCTTATGGGGTATTGATATCTTGTGAAATGATTTCAACAAATGAAATTGTTTGCTACTTTCTTTTTAATTAATTCTAATTTTTGGATTTATTCTTTTTAGTCAGTTAATCCCAGTGATTCATTTCTGAACATCTGATCGATGCCACATATTGGCATCTCTGTAAATGTAACATCTCGGCAAAATTGCAATTAATGGACGTAATCATATTTCCACTTTTTATTGATCATCATGTATAGTCATATTGATTTTAATTCAACAGCAAACATTCGCTCATATCAAGTAAAATTACCAAAAGAATGATCATTAATGAATCATAATTTGTTGATAAACAATCGATAAATCAGATATAATATTGTTGTAACTGACGATATATTCAAGTAACCGATTGTTAGAAAACCCGCGGTGCCGCGTCCAGATGTAACCAAGGTACATATCTGTAATATCTGATTTTATTCACATTATGAAATCATTATTATTATTGATATACAATACTTTTATTATTTTCCACACTTATTATCCAAAGAAATGGAAATATTCGCTATATCTCACCTCCTACAGCACAACGGAGTAAGATTTTACTTGAAAAAAAAATCAATATTACCGAATAAATGAAATTATTGAAATTCAGCATCATCTCATTAATGAGAGTAAATTTTGAAATGAGTTTAAACTATACATTACGCTGTTACAATTAAAGTATAGTATGACTCATCATCCGTGAAAGATAATAAATTTCCATGTTTTTTAATGAAATGTGTAATTTTGAATGCTTTTAAATTCTGACTTCAAAAGTTACGATTTTAGAAATGAATAAAGAACATATCGTATAAAATTCATATTGATTGCCAAGAGAACTATGTTAGTTACCTGAAGACGATTCTTTTTTTCTCATTTTCCGAGAATGCTTTATAACTCAAATTAGAGAACTTGGGAAATCAATCTTTGTTACCAAAAGGCGATAATATTTTGAATACCGATTTCAATAATTTCTAATCTTGACCGAAAGAAGGGAAGAATCTAAATGAAGGAGAAACTAAAATTCAAGCATATTAAATATGATTCCAAATTTTTCGTATCAGATGGGATCGGTAGGAATTTTTTTAAACGAATATTTGGTTCTAATATCATGAAAAAAATTTTTGCCTCGTTTAATTGTTGTAAACTTTGAACCCTTCTTGTAGCAACTGCTTTTTTCACTTGCCCAATTGTGCAATTATCATTTAAAGGACAGCCGGGTAATGCTAACTGATAGACGGTGGTTCCATTCTTGTAGAAAAACTATAAAGTTTCGTTAAATTTAATATTGAAATGAAATTTTCATCATCTCATTTGAGAAAGATAAACAATTATGTAAGTATGTACTTGCAAATTTTGATTGATAGTATTATGATAGCTATTAATTTTTAGCATTGATACTTAATCTTTTGTAAATAAATAAACAAACTTGATTCTTCTTTACTTAAATTATCTTTGCAACATTGATTAAATGAAAGTGATCAATTAATTCTGTTCATTCTTCATACAAACCCTAATCGTTGTATGATTATTCGCCGTCTTATATATTTCCATTATCGCGCACGAAGCATATGGAATAAGCAAATCATTGTTAACACCCAAAGCATGCATTAGCGCCAACATTGTGCCATCATGCTGAAACAGAAGTATTTGTTAGCTGAAATTATTTTAATTAGTTAGAACCTGTTTAACTAACTTTTTGGCTAATTGATTATTTATCACTGATCACTTACTTATTCATTCTTAATTAACTTTCGAAATAATTAAATGAAAAAAGAATATTGTGTAATTACTTGAGAAAAATTAATAGTAAATTTTAATAGTACAATGATTAGATCAAAAAAAAAAAAACAAAATTTAAAAAAGAAACAAACATACAGCAGAATGAAGCTTAATTTTACGTGGAATAACAGGTAATCCTTGTGATATATTTTCAGCTCGATCAATCCAATCTTCCATTAATAAACCGCCACGTAACTGAGCCTTTTTTGGTGAATTAAATTCTGAGATACGACGAATTCTCTTCAAACTACTTATTATATCAATTGTGGTCTCATTATCAAATTGAGGCCAAACTTGATATACCCATGATGGTTGTGTCATATTATGATCTATCTAAAGATAATTTCTTTTCATTTAATTATACATATCTGACAAATGAGTGCAATTATCACAATCATTGCAATAATTTAAAAATTATTTCACATGCAATTATTTCATTCAATTTTGCAAATACTTAACATTTGATAAAATCTTTAGTAACACTTCTGAAAATATAATTAGAGGGAAATTAGAACCTCTCGCTGAATGTCAAATAAAGAAGCAGCCTTTTTGAAATTCATCTTTTTATGTCCAGTGACAGTGGCAAGGAAATCAAAGAAATCAGCATACTTCTCACTTATATTTCTGTATAACATTTCATTCTCCTTTTCACTCTCAAAATCATATGTTTGACAATGGAAACTTGTCGGTCTTAATAGCTGCAATAAAAATGCTACTTAATTATACAATTTCAAAAACTTTTTTTTGGACCAAAATGAAAACAGTATATTTGATGCCAATACATGAACTAAATTGAGATGAACTTTTTGTTGATTAAATTTTGCAAGAAAATCGAAATTAAGATGATCATGAAATACTAACAAGTTTTTTTTGATGCTAAATATCATAATACACTGTCCTTGTTTGCTTGTGACAGCTTGGAAGTAAGACGAAAATATTTTTAATGTATTAATTTTTGGATTTGTTGGATAAATTTTTAGTGTAAAAGATTATTACTCGTTTTTTAGCATCACAGTAATTAGCTAGCACATGTGATTTGCAATAATTAAGTTTTGAAATGTAGGAATTTCAACGTTAATAAATATTCCATACAATAGAAGAGAGTACGATTTCATTGGGCCAAAAAAAAGCGTACAGCATCTGTTGTTGCTATTTGAAGTGGTAGTGGTTGCCATTTTTCATTGGGTAACCATACTTCTTGGCCACTGGCTGGAAAGAAGCCATGAAGCATAGCTAATCCACTGATTATAGCTCGCTCCGATCCCGATGATACCAAATTTACCTAAAAAAAAGTGAATAAAATTAATTGTTCTATATGAAGAAATGATTGCCCATTGTTTCAGTATTAAAATTTTATTTTTGTTTTATAAAACTATTAGTTCCTATTTATCTTTTGTAGATAAACTATGTGCAAACTTTATATGTAAACTTTTCTATGTAAATATGTATAAAACATTATAAACATATTTCTCTATTAAACCGGAATAGTTAACATCGACCAGATATTTCATATTTTTAGTAAATGCCTGAAAGATGAATGAAAAATTTTTTTCATCAAATGGATAATCAATAAACATATTGTTGTTGTTGTTGATTGTTTTATTTTGCTTTAAAATTTCAGAAGAGGAAAAGTGAAGAAATTATTAGCATTCTCTGTTTCTTTTTCTTCAGACAAACAATCAAATGGTACTCTTTCCTTCTTTATTTACATTTTAAAAATTGTTGAATTGAAATAGGTAATGAAGAGAACTTACATCTTTCCTATTAAAATTTGTAATAAATGAAGCGTATCTTTCTCGAAAGAATTGTCCAAGTTCATACATTTGTAACATTCCAATCTCAAATACATTTAAACATTATCGCTGTTCAAAATAATCAGAAGACAATTGAGTATTTTTTTAAAACAATAATTACATTTTTGTTTTGTTTTCTAATTCAGAAAAATAATTAGTGATCCTCAGTTTACAAGAAATATGATTACATTTGTTTTAAAGAAAAACATATTGATAATAATGAAATTGGGTGAAATTTTTAAAAATTCTGACATTAGTCGTTTGACTCCATCCTCTTGGCCATGCTGTCTCGTTATATTTATCATTTGGATAGGGCAAATGATTTGGTGCTCGATCACCATGCCGCCAGATTGCTTGCACATAAACAAGCTCCTTATCAGATTCTCTTTGCGCATTGATTGCTTCAATCACAATAGCGCATATTGGAATCAAAATGATTGTTTGCATTTCCCAATATATATGTCTTTTCTCTATATTTGCTTATATTTACTAATTATTGTGAAATATCGATAAATGAAGAAAACGAAAAGAAAATAATGACAGGAATGTAAGTCTGGTTGTCATAAAAACGGCGATCAATAAGTGAAATATCGATAAATGCAGCAAACTTCATTGCATTTCTTTAACATAAATCTGTAAATGAAATAATGCGACATTAGCGCTACAAATTATATTTATTCAATTTCACTTAACTGTTGAAAAAAACACTAAAAAATACAATTAAAGTAAAATGTTCAAAAAGAAATTTGAATATTATAAAATTTCCTCAAATCTTTTAAAATACAATTGATAACATATGAGCTTTCATATCATAATTAATAGAAACTATTACTATAAGTTTAGTATTAAAACATATTTCTTTTCTCATAAACTGAACAAATTTTCTGGCTTGTAATAAGAAGTAGCACAAAGTAATTTAATTTGACCAACTTTTCTTTCTCTCTTTTTAAATATTATAATCAATAAAAAAGAAACATATACTAACAAAATTGACAACTTTTTAACTGTCGGAGAGATAATTAAACGATAAATACAAATATCATTAAATAAAATGTCTGTGTAATTTTTAATTTTTGAAATTTAATTAACGATTGTGTAAAACAAAGGAAAAATTCTTTTCATTGAAATATTAATTTAATAATAAAAAGAAATGAGAAAGTGTTATTTTTACTCTCAATTTTTGTTCATTTAATAATTTAATTCCAAAAAATTTCATTTAATTTTTATTCATTTTCATTAATGAAATAGATTGATGAAAATGAAAAGTAAAAAAGAGTAAAATGAAGGATATATTATTATGTTTAATATAAAATTAATTAATTTGAACATTTATGGATTCTATCGTGTCACTAATGACCATTCATTTACCTTCTCTGATAGGTAAATGAATGGTCATTACCTTTTTTAATGACATTTTATGACCATATTAATTTATCTTCTTCAATAATATTTCACGATCATTCATTCATCTTCTCTGATAACATTTTATGATTGATCATACATTCATCTTCTCTGATAACATTTTATGATCGATTACTCATTCATCTTCTCTGATAACATTTTACAACAAATAAACAATATAAAAAAAACAAATCTATAATTTTTGGAAAAATTTCATGATATTCATTTGATTACTTAGTAAAAAAGAAAAAATAAATAACTGGAATGAAATATACAAATCATTCATTCTATTACAAATGAAATTTATTCAGCGAATGATAGGACAGGTAGATATTATAAGAGAGTTTCAACACTATTGTAATATTTGGTAGTCATAGAAACATGAAAATTGATGACAAACAAATTTATTTTATTATACATTTCCATTATTTACATTAAGAATATATATTAATTAGTTAATTATCAATATTGCGAAAACTTTTCTTTTCTCACACATATAATATATTAATTGTAAGATTCTTTTTTCCAACCTCCATCTATTGTTTTTGGATTACAGAAACTATCTTTACGAAGGTATATACTTTAATTCTCTTCCCCTACTTTATGTATTCTTAAAAAAAATCATTCGAAATGTTTATCATTTCAATATCTATTGATTTGCTACGAATTTTGGTCTTATTGAGTTATATGTCATAAATTTCTTCCATCAATTCATTCTTTCAATTTTCAACTATTCTATTTCAAAAAATTAAATTCATTGTTTTACCAAAAATTCTTCATAGTCACTTGGCTGTCAAATTTCCTCTTTAGCACTTCATTTTTGCATAATATCATTTCTTGGTCTAAACAAAAAAAAATGAATAACTCACCAGCCTTGCTTGATAGTTGCAAAAGCTACAATTGGTAGATTTGAAGGACAGTGGAAAAGAAAAACCCGTTTTTTTCGAAGTAACCTCCACTTGCATTAGTAGGTAGCACATAATATAGGGCGCCTTACGTTGGAGCAATCGCCGATCGTTCTCCCTTCCTTTTGATGATATGTCCTTATTGCTCTGTTCTTCAATAATCGATTGGTTGGAAGCTGAGAAATTTTTCAATTCTTTTATATCTAATTTAATTTGTTGTTTCTTAGGTTAGACCCAATAAACAAATGAGTTTAGTTCATAGCTAAATTCTTCAGTAATATGCAAAAATTAGGCACTAATATTTATATTTAATTATCGGATTAAATCAATGAGCATTCTTTGCAGAATATGCGTCATGTTATTCTAATTTTCCTGTCCTTCTGTTTGCTCAGTTATTTGAATATAAATTCAGCCGAACTAACAAACAATCTGCAAGAAATCATTACAAAGGTAAAAGACAATATTAATTTTAGCTTACACTTTAGTAATTTCATAAAAATTGAAATTGTGGTCTATCTTTCTACATTTTCTCGGTTTTTCAGTGCAGAGGTCAATGAGATAATTAGCCTTCGATTCCCGGATTTATATTAGACTGTCAACTATATCTTTTACATTTCATTCTTTGTACCAAAACTTCACATTTAAAATCTTTTGACACAATAAATTTTAATAAATGGAAAAAATCCAGGATGATGATGTTCACAAATACTTGCATTTTTTGTGGTGTCCACCGAAACTTCTCGGGACGATGTGTCCAGGTAGTAAATTTACCTACCATATAACCAATAAAATTGACTTTTTTTTCATCAAAAGCTAAACATTTCATATTTTTACATGCATGCGTGTAAAAATAATGAAATTTTATTGGTATATATATAGTAAATATATCTGCCAGCAATATAGTAAATATATCTGTCAGCATTTATATATGTTTCGTTATTGAAATAAAAGCAAATATTGGAGCATACTTAAGTATACTTACTATATTGAAACAAATAAGTATACTTTTTTGTGAATTTATAAATTTGATATTATCAAATATCAAAACAATCAGAATTTATTCCGATAAATGCGATAAATCATTAACTGTAATATCCAACAAGCCTTTGCAACGCTTTTTTATCAGTTTTTAATGCTTAGACCGTGATATACTATTTATTATAGCATTATCACATATACATTAGTTATTTGAATTGTTTAATCAGTATTACATGAATTTTTTTTGCAGAGAACTCATTAACTCATTACTATTATTGCTGCGGTGACCTTAGGAACAGATGCTGCTATACAACAAGAACCTGGGTTTTTTGCGCTTGTCTAGCTGTACCAGTGCTCATTTTTACACTTACTCTGATCTACTTACTTAAAAAAATCGCTTGCTTCGAATCAAACCGATATGTTGCCGGAGAAATACAGCCGTGAAAAAATTATAATAGCTAGGGGATATTTTTAAAAAGGAAAACTAACTTGAGCAGCCTTTATTCCTTCTAAGACTAAAAATTTAATTTCTTTAAACAAAACATAACACACATTAGATTCTAAGACTTGAAATTAGAATTTGTTGTTAGTGTTGTAAATTCGCTTACTGTCTTAATTTAGTACTTACAAACAATTGATTGCAATAGTTTTAGTAATAAAATCCAAAAGAAGGGAAATGGAAAACTTGAAGTTAAGTGCAATATTCATTGCAATTTTCAATTTTACTCCAATTCGTGCAAATTGTTATGATCTCATTGTGGTGCTTCTTTTTTGCATTAATAAGAAATTGCAATAAATTATTCAACTTTATTATTCCTACAATATATTTATTTCATTTAATTATGGCCTCTAATGTCGCACGAATTCAAATCTCAACAATGAACAACGGTAAAAGTATTCGAATTTAAATGTAATTAATTCTAATTTTAAATCAGTTCAAAATATTATAAAACTGTAATTTGATATGTGATATTAAATTAAAGCTGTAATGATTAGTTACTTTGTGTGATTTATGTTTAATGGTAAATATTTCTAAATATTGACATATTCCATTGCTAAGAAACGCCTACGCTTTTTATATAATTTACTAGAAAGTAGAAAATTTAACTACGTGGAGCATTAAAATAATAAGCGCAAAAAACGAACACATCTCCATTAGGTGTAAGCTAAAGTTTAATTGATTAATTCTACAATGTATTGTGAATTTCGACCTCTTCACTTCCAGGTAAATCTGCACGATATAGGACTTATAGTATATTTTAGCTGTGCAACACGTCATGATCGTACATATTCAAAGTGTATTTCCTTGGAAATTGAAATTTATTTGTAATCAGACATCCAAAAGGATATATTACAATTAAAATATATAATATATATATAAAATTTTTTCACGATATACATAACGTATTTGAAGGAAATTTCAAAATTTCAATCTCTTATAATAAAAAATTTCATATATGAGCAAATAAAAATATAAAAGTCAACTGATTCTGAAACATTTCAGAAAGAAGAGATGCTGATGATAATTAAAATGGTTATCATTTTAACAGTTAGAGGATTTCTTTTGCATATCCTCAAACTTTATTTGAACTCATTAGTTACTCAAAAGATTATCAAACTTTGATTCAAATCTGAATAAATGCTGCCAGAAATGGTCAAAGTATCTCATACGCTCTTAAGTTTAATCTTCTAGCCTATGAATATAAGATAATTATGATTTAGAATGCTAAAAATTTGTAGAAAATTGAAAATTAAAAGCCTTTATTTTATTTATTTGTTTCTGTTATTTAAAAATTCACAAAAAGCTATATAAAAATACAATATTATATGTTACGAAAGTGTAACATATATTGAATATTTCAATTCAAATATTCAATAAATCGTTTGAGAACACATTAATACATTGAATATTCTATGTGTCAACAATTTTTATATACGAAGAAAATTAGTAAATAAAATCGGTACAAGTTTGCACTTCTTGTTTTCGTTTTGGATCCAAGAACGATAAATCTAATTCCGTAGGACCAATAGATCGTTGACCACTGTAAGTTTCAGCTCTTCGCGGTAACAATATGTTACCACCTAAATTTACTATAATTTTTGATCTAGACACATTATTAATCAATAAACATTTCCTTATAATAATAGTATTTCTTTTTTAAAAAATAATGAAGTAATTTCAAATAATATCAATGAATAATTTTATCATTGAATTTTTCATCTTACAGTTCATTATTGTAGAAAGAGTTGAAAGATATAAATAAAATATTATCCAACTCATTTTCCTTTGTTTAGACGATGAATGATAACTATTGCGTAGAAGTACGGATTTTTTACAGTTTATGAAACTATATCAAACCTGACTTCACCGAAGCACTTTCTTGAATTGGAGGTTCCAGTCCTCTTACTTCCAATATATCTTCTAATGATGCAATGCCATTTGTCTGCAACCGTACAATTAAAATATATATAAATTTATCCGTTCAATTGATCAAATATTTTATTAGTGTTGAACAAATTTAAAATAGATAATTTAATTCAAAAATTATCTTCTAAAAGCCAAGATAATCTTACTTATCATTCTGCAAAGAAATAGTTCAAACTTCTATAAGCCATAACATTTCAATTTAGTAAAAATTTAATTCGTGACAAAAAAAATTCGAAATTACCTGAGTTGAATCGTCAACTTTATTACTGCCGACTCGATTGATGGTTAATGTACCGTTGGAAGATATACCGCGTGAAATCGGGGAATGCATTGGTCGTATTCGATGTCTTTGAATTGATGCTGGTGTAGCGGTTTGGGATGAGCTTCGCAATGACCCGGGATATATCTCTGCTTTAAAACCAGGCAAACGTGGCGGTGGAAGTGGAGTTCCTGTAAATATTATCATTATTATCATCATTTCATCAACCCATGGAAATAATTATTGCAATTATTTAATGCATTATACTTTTCCCGTACTTATGAAATATTTGAAAATCACAATTAAAATATAATTTGTTCTATTGCATAAGAATATAACTGTTCATATTTTAATTTTTTGTAGTATTTGTATGGAAATTTTACCGGAATATGGAGTGCTATAAATAGCATCTCCCGGTGTTCCATAAATTCGTTCAAATGTAGGAGTTGCAATCAATAGTTTTCTAGATCCTCTTACTGTACTTGTCCTATATATTTCATCTTCATCTTTAATGCGTCTTGCACAACAACAACAAAATCGAGCCAAGAATAATGTTAATAATATTGCTAGGATTAAGAGCACAATGATAAGAGCCAAGAAAAGTCCAACAATTGGCTGAAAGAATTAAAACATTTGTAATATTATTGCATATTAATCATGGATAATTCTTGAATTTTCAAGAAATAAACTTTTTATTAGTCTTATGGATTGTTTTTATTTGTTGATTTTCACAAGATTCGCAGTTGCTTACCTATAAAGGTAAGTAATTAAGTAATTAAAAACATACTTTACTTCATTTAATTGACAAATAATACTATCTCCTGCAAAAACTATTGAATAAGGTTGTGCAAACAAGAAAAAAGAAAACGATTAATTTTCTTTTCCCATTTAAGTCCAAAAAAAATCAATGTAGTTTCAGAAGGCATTGAACGATATATTTCCAATACATTGTGAATGTGAATAACAACCTATCTTAGAACCAACCTATCTTATAATACATATTTTTTCATCCATCATTTTACTGTGCATATCACAAAACGTTAAAAATGATTGGTTTCAGGGAGGAAAATGTTTAATGAGTTGGATAATGGATTGGTTCATTGAACGAATTATCATTTCAATTTCTTTTCTTTTTATTACTACGAACATTACACCTTTAATTCTTCGAATACGTAAGAACGGGTTTTCATTCCAGTCCTTTGTTATTGTTTTAAAATAAACAAAGAAGCTTTAAAGCTTTAAATAAATTTCATAATAGAATATGAAAAACACTTTAATTTAATAGCAAACAAATTCGATTCAGCAATTTCTTTCAAATCGAATTGAAGAGCTAAAAGAAGAGAAAGAGAGAGAGAGATGGCATGAATTAATTGATTATTCAATTGTGAGCAGTAAACAATGGTGACTATTTCATGATGGTCATAGTTTCTATTAATTAATAAAACTTAGCAATAATTATTATATTGCAATATGAAGTACTTCTGATATTTATCTTAAATTTGTCAGTAGCAAATAGTAGAAGGAAGTAGAATTTTGACGACAATTTATAAGTAAATGAAATTGATCAGAAAATTTTTGAGAATCATAAGAAATGAAAAATTATTTTAAAAACTGTTCTCTTTTCATCAAATGATTTGCATTGAAAAACTTGAATAAGCATTATATTAAAGTGATAAAAGGTTAAAGGTAAACTATACCGTCCAAGTTTCAGCTCGTTGTATTTCCGATTTCCGTGCGTTGTTATAATTGGATAACAAGTACTGTAATGCGATGATATCCTCCGATGGCTTATCTGAAATCATGAATTGTTGCAACAAATAACAATCCGGCATAGTCATAATTTCAAACGATGATGAATCAATAATTCGGTTAAGATAAAACGATGATGAAGTCTTATCCAATTATAATAAAGTAATATATATATGGGTATGCTTGAGGTGCAAATGCCTGCAAATATTTCTTGCAAACTTTCCCATCTTTTGAAATAAACTTTGATTTTACAACAAAATGTTAAACTCTGTAAACTGTCTGAGCTTTCTTCTTTTTCTTCGTGAAAATAAAATTTTAGTGTGTTATCATTATTTAATGAATTATAAACTGTCCAGACAAATTAAACATATCGGATATAAGCAATAACCACACTATACGCCTTAAATGAATAGTTAGATAATTTATAAGTAAATGAGTTTCGATCAAAATATCAATTGAATAGAAGCAGCGATTTTTTTTAGCTTCAAAAACTCTTACTGTAATCATTGGAGGAAGGATATGAGCGAGCATGACTGGACGGATAGTGGATCATACTTGGACTACTTGGGATGATACTTGTGGATCATATGTTGAGAGTTATTATCATTGTAATGCATTACATATGCGCCACAAGAAATGGCTAATACTAAAAACGAAACCTTATGGATGGTAATTTAAGGAGGCGTAAACAGTAGAGTATTAGTTCTTTATAAGATATTTATATGCCCAAAGAGAATAGACCTGTAGCGACAATGTTTATATAAAAAAAAAGTATATCATTAACGATCATCAATTTTCTTCTTTTTTTCTCCTCTTCTCCGACAAGGAATTAGATAGTATCCGTGAACGTAAAAGTAAACGTGAACATGGATATGAATGCGAAATGGCCATAAATTAATAAATGATAAGGCTAAGGCATTAAACAGATGGAATTCAATCAGTTTCTTCTTCCATCATTACTACTTAATTAGTTTAACTTACACTACTCTTAATTAGTCTGATTTGTAACAAAATTTGGTACTTAAAATCTAAGATATTGCAAGTACAGAGATTGTTAATATTGATACGAATCATATTAAATTTTAGAAAAGAAAATACTCAAAAAAGTTTACTTTTGATAGCCAGCTTGTGCAATTTTATTAGATCCTTCGCATCCAAAGAAGTATAAGAATCGCCACCGTGATATGTTACTAACTAAAAAGGAAGAAAAATTATATTTTTGAATTTGGACTATAAAAAAACAATTCAGGATAACGAACTTCTTCTTACTATCCTACTATAAGGTGCAATGATTATCAACAACCATAATAATAATAATAGTAATATGATAATATGATATGTGATGGAATTGAATAAAAAGAATGTTCATATTTCAAAATTATATTCTTTAAATGCAAAATGAATTAATTAGTCGAAAAGTTCTGAGGAATTTTTTTCAACCAGAAAACTGTTCGTATAGTATAATCATTGTATTAATAACAATGATTTTCAACAATTTAAATATCTTTGTGTTTCATCTAATTGAAACTATAAAAACGCTATATTATTTGGAGAAACGTTGAAAATAAAAATTTAAACGTTTGTAAACTTCTAAAAGAAATCTACCTGAATACTTATTATTACCTGACAGTAAAGTATCATATATAAAGAAGTATCATTTTCAAACGCTTTTTTAAAACTAATTTAAATATGATTGTTGATAGCAACCTGCTTTTTATCCTTTATATAGATGATGAGAAGTCCATTGTCGCAGTGAACATTGCCTAGCTGAGCATCATAGTAAATCTTCTTGGCAGTTTCATTTAATGGTTCACCACTATCAGCAACTTTTGTCGAATTCGTCACATGAAGAACGCCAATATACCTAAAGACATCCATTCAAAATAGAATATAGAAAAAATATATCGTAGTTATAGAAGAAATTTAACTTCCGTAAATTTGATTGAAATTTTGAATTTTTTGGAATGATTTTTTATGAGATCACATAAAAAAGTATTTGCTTCATATAATGCAAAATTCACTGCAATATATACAATCTATTGATATTATGAATGATATAATATGTAAGAAATTAAAACTTTTTACAATGCTATAAAATATTTTATTTTAAAACTGATAATTTAAAAAAATCAAAACATGTGAGAAAGAAAGTGTTAAATCTAACAAAAGAAATATTTTTAAAAAATTTGAAAAGAAAACTTCTGTCTTAACATCTTTATATAGAAAAGTAATAACATGAAATATGTTCTTGTTTATTATGATCATATGGTATCGAAAAATAATGCAAAAATTCCCTCGTTGTTTAATGAGGCATACGTAAGAATTACTTTTACGACATTTTACGACATGGCGGAAAATTCAATTCGATAATTCTTATAAGTAAAAAGATTGAAATGTATAATTTTTATCTCTTAAAAAACATTAAAATTAAAAAAATAATGAATTCTGGAAAAACTTGCGAAAATTACTAAAACAATGCATTTAATGATCAACATTTATTATCAATTTGATTGGAATGAATTTCAAATTCAAATGTTACATTACAGTGTGAGTTAGTGAATTTGAAAAGTTGGAAAGTTTAAAGGAATGTTTATAATTTTCAGAAATCGATGAGAAAGATATATTATTGCATGTCAGCCTGCTAATGAGGATATTTCGAATATCATTATCCCAATCACTAAATGAAATGATTTTAACATTTTTCGTCCTTTCTCCTTCCCAATATTAACAATCATATAAATTAAAAAATATGTAACACAGATGTGTTCAAATTTATAGAAATATATCAAAATTATTTGCTTAAAGTTTTTGAATTCATAAATTTCGATTATTTTATCAAACTAAAAGATTCGAAATTAATAAATAATTTTTTTCCACAATTTCTTTTGGCAGATTTCTTGTCATTTTGAAAATTAAAATAAAGCTTAAATGAAAAACCTGTTATTCCCATTCGGACGTTTGCATCCACTGTCACAATCACATTTAACCTTTTGCTGAAGGTCATTAAGCAACGAGATCAGCTTTTGCTGAGTTTGGAAAGTCAGCGTATCATTAGCATCACATAACAATAAAGTACTACCGAAACCGTCCGCTTTACAAATTGTATAATCGTCCCATATATTAGTCGCAATAACGTTAGCTTTTAACTGCAAAATTTAATTTTATTAAATTTAATTTAGCTTAATTTAATTCAATAAATCCTTTAAACAAATAGGAAAATTATTAGAAAGAAATTATTTATGAAAAAAACAAAAGATTACTGAGGAATTTTTTATGAAATTAAAAAGAATAGTTCAATTTTTTTGAATTCTTCAATGAATAATTTATATTTAATAATAATTTATAATATAATTGAATGATTGATTTTATAGAAAAATCTTTTTTATCTTTCTTATTTTCCTGCCTAAACTTATTTTAAACAATAAAATTTGTTGCATAATTTCAATGTAATTCACGACAAACATCAAAAAGATCACCTCTTGTAACAAATCCATCAATTCACGAACTACATAAACAGTGATATTTCATGAATGTGATACAATGATAACGATAGATACTGTATTAATTCTATCATATTTTTTAATTGACAACAACGAATATTAAAAATTTGATTTTTTTAATACTAAGAATGTAATATGCTAAGATGAAATTATATATCTGCAGTAATTAAAATTGATCTTAACATACTTGATGATAAGAATTACAAGTAATGTCATTTATAATAAGTATTTAAATAAAATGAGAAGGAAATTATTAGAGTAGAAAACTATGAGAACAAGTATATCTTCACCAAGAAAAATGAACGTTATAAACGACAGCAGCACAGCTATCTATATGGGATCTGCAGAGATGATAAGAGTTGTCTATCATTATTGACAATTTTAATTAATTAATCCAACAAAATTGATAATTCATTGATAAAATAAAGTTCTGTATAATAAATGAATGAATAAATCATTCAATTACACAACAATAAACAGTTCCATATAATCACAATTAGCCGATTTATCGTTCTATCAATGTTTCCATTATCAATGAAAAAGTGAATTGATTTGGTATGAAAAGTTGTAGTAATATCGTTCCTAAGAAAACCTTAAAATGATGAAAGGAAAGTTTATTAGAAAATAAATACATAAAAACAGAGTAAGAAATGCTACTCTATTGATTATGGACTACTACGGATTTTAATTTTTGATTGATCTGTCACACTGTCAACTGTGCTATCAGTTTAACAAAAAGAAGAAAAAAATAGTTGAACAGATATTTTATGAGATCGTATTTGAAAGGAAGCAATTCATTTAACAATTCATATTATAATTTATAATTTTGATCAACAAATAAATTCAAATAATATTTGATAAACAAAACAATGATAGAATTCCCACGATTAAGTAATTTTTGTTTGAAATAGAATATCATCGATTTTAAAAACTTATTTAATTGACAATATATTTTTGAAAGAGAGAACTCAATTGAATGGTATAAAATATTTTAGAGAAAAGAAGCAAAGATATTTGAAGTGAATGAATTTAGTTACACTTTTAGATTAATCTAACTTTGAGTTTTTTCATCCTTTAATTATCATTCATTTTTGCTTTGAAATTTATGTGCAATGATGAAAACCAGAAATACACGTAACGAACGGCAATCGTACATCAATCGTACATTCTCATAACCATCATTTACGCATTTCTATTTCATGGGAAACGAATGAATTATTATTGACAATATCCAGTCAACCGAAATTCATCATGATATATGTGTTCTTTGCAAACAGCTAGCTTTAATTGTTCGAATTCTTTGAGCAGCAAAATATTCATCGTCTTCCGTTTGAAGTTGAAATTGTTATATAATGCCGAAACATTTGAAATATTTTAAAGGAAAAAAATAAACACACACTGCAACTACTCAGCGCAATATTTTCAGAAATAATTTATTGCAAAATTTTTTTCTTCACCATTTTTGTTCGTTTTAAACTATATCTGTAAGATAGGAAGAGAATACATTATCTAAAAGATAAGAAGAGAAGAGATAGTTAGTATGATATGATATTCAATTGTAATGAAATTTATTAAATTCATTTGAAAGCAATTTCAAACTAAAAACTATCCTGATAAATTGAAGAAAAAAACATTATTTAATCATTTTTAAAATGGAAAAATTTCTTATGATATGACTAATGGTATCATTAAATTAGAAAATTTAAAAATATTTGCTACTCAGAAGATGCTATTTTGAAATTATTACACAAAGTTCTGCTTTTTCAGACTGATGCTAATACTTTTAATGGTTTTTTTCCACTTAATTTGATATTGTAAGTAATGCGTACGCTACGTGAACATCAAAATATAAAGCTACGTGAACATCAAAATATAACATTTCAATGATTAATACTTCGTCACGTATTCATTCATACATCATTGCAATTCATTCGATTGAAATTTAATTTGGTGTAAATGAGAATTTCCGTCAGATACGATAAAAAGAAGAAAAAGTGCAGATTCAGAAAGAGAGAAAGAAAAGGCATATCACATTTCAATATAAAAACCCGTAATTGAATGAACATTCTTACAATATTAACATTCGATTATAAATTCAAAATAATTTTTTAGGAAACAATATCACTGCAAATGATAAGATATGATTGCACGAAAATGGCTTAAACGCAATCATCAAAGCATATCATTTAATAATTTATCTTTTAATTCAGTAATTTTGAATGCCCAATTTTCAATTCTCAACCCCCTACTACACTGAAATAACTATTGCAATTACCATGACTTTTTCTTTTTCCCTCGAAAAAAAGATTCTTGGTTGAAGAATGGTAGAATAAAGTGTCGATGAATCAAACTAGGCCAACATTCTTAGAAATAACACATTCAGCCTAGAATTCAGAGCCATTATGAGGAACGCTATGCCTTTCCTCTTCTTCTAAATGCTTCTTATATTTCTTATCGTATCCATCATCCATTTCTAGCGAAAATTCTCATCTATATCAAATCAAATTTCGATTAAAATGGATTGCAGTGATCTATGAGTACGTGATGAAGCATTAATCATTGAAATATTATTTATTGAATTCATAATAGAGAAGAAATTCAACGTCAAATCCACCGACAATATGATCCAAGGAGTATAACAAAGGAGTATAACAATTTTAATTATTTTCGGAAAATTAAAGAAATCATATTTAATACTGATCAGTTAATTTGATCAACAAATCTCGAATATTATTAAAGAAAAGAATTCATTTGCATTAGAGTCTCTTTCTCTCTCTCTCTCTCTTACTGAAAGAATTTTCAGTCTGTAAAGAAACGGTTTATCGGAAGTAATCAGATAAATAATCAGAAAATGTAGAAAATTTTATGTGAACTGAAGAGAAATATAACTTTTAGTTATATTTCTTTTCAGTTCACATAAAAGCTTTACTGTGAATCAATTCTAATATTATTTATGCTGAAATGAGTTTAATTTTAAATTTCAAAAGTATATAAGAAAAATAAATAAAAATTGGAATTAGAGTAAATCAAAAAAAAGAAATATATATATTATACATAATAAAATGATAAATGGAACCAACACATAAAAGAAGTAATGTAGAAATGATGCCAAAGAAGTACACCATAGTTAACTGTTACAGGTATTTGATGATCCAATATAATGCCTTTCACACCAGCCTAGATAATCAACTTTGTGGTTGAACTGCATGGGAGATACTGGCCGATATCAATATTTCATTATTTAAAACCAGTAATGGATTAAAATAGTACAGAAATGTGATGAAGTATGAAAGAGAATAATCCAAACATAATAAATAGTACTTCCACAAAAATGTTAATTTTGAAAATAGCAAATGAACAGCGGCTAATTACCGGTTTATACCGCCAAAAGTAGTAAACTCGTTTCTTCTTCTTCTTCTTCCGTTCCTTTCTTCTATAGAAATCTATATTAGATCGTAATGAAATTAAAAATCAAATTTAGAGCAACAAGAAATGCAATTCATTAAGAAATGCAATTCATTAAATTAAATATTATTGATTGATGTATGTTTGAAATACTGAAATGTAAACAAAATTGAACATTGGGTATTGCGAAGACAAATCGAACAAATTTATTTCCTATCATTAATTCGCTGCAATAATGTTTTTAAGCACGAAACTAACAAATGCTATTATTGTGTAAAATTTCAGGTATGGAATTAAATAAATGAATAATAAATGTTGATTTAATAAATTATACTAAAGATAAATGAATGAATGCTATATTACATAATGATAATTTCATACTATTTCAAATTATCAAATCCAATTGGTCAAATTATCACATATCGGAATTGGAAGTGATAATATTGGAAGAGAAAAGTATAGGAATTTCGGGATTATATTAAATATGGACACTAAAAGATCAAACAATAACATTTAATAATACTATCTAGGATATTTATAATCATTTTGTAAAAGAAAATAACCACAAATTGAAGATAACTTATCGTAATTATGACGAAATTAATAAATGAGAGAAAAAGATAGAGGGAGAGGAAGAGAGGGAGGGAGGGAAAATAATAAAAGGAAGATTGATAGATTCATGAGATTCTTGATTTGCTGAGTAGGAATCCGGTTTGTTGTTGTCATCTATCGCATGAAAGATTTCTTTATCAGACACCTCATTTCTTTCTTCTTCTCTTATGATACAAGGCAACAGCATTATCATCTTTTAACCTGTTTGCTCGGGGGTGGGAAAAGATGGGTGAATGCGCTTCTGTCTATTATGCATCATTACCCAAACTTTTTTAGCATACTGTCACAGTTTTAACTCTCACTTCGGCACTCATTGATGGTAAATCACGGTTTATCGACTACTTTCAAAATATCTGCAACGTTAATCATATATCAGTGTATAAGAAGAAATTCAAACCCTGCTGATATTGTCATCTTAACGGTTTTAGTTAGAACTCAAAGAAATATGATGAAATTATATATTAATATCATATATTAATACAGTTGTGGAACATTTTGGAAAGTTGTAAGATGATGTACTACAGTACCTTTCTTCAGAATGCTCATAGTTGAGAAATATTCCAACTCATATGAATCGTTTTCATCCAATATCATTAAATTAATTCAAAGACCAATTGGCAATTCGCAAACACTTTCATTTTCTAAAGATTGAAAGATTTTAAATGGTATCATTTAACGCCTTAAAAGCTTATCAGAGGACAATGTTCAAAGGGTTCCTTGCTAATGTTAGAGAAAGAAATTTCATTGAGCTTCCAATAGACAATATGTTTATCATACGATATTATTTTGAGACACTTGGCTTAATTTAATATTTCAATGAATTGCAATGCACTTTTGTCAATCTTCTCTGCTTGCGGTGGAAAAATGAAACATTGGGCAGAACATTTATCAATAGAAGTATAAGTGATATTAAATAATCATTTGGTTATTTATCACTGCTTATCGAGCAGATCGGAAAACTGATTAAGATTGCATTATGCTCAATTGAGATAAATTAACTAAATTTAACCGAAATTTTGGAGAAAGCACAAATGAAATAAATATATTAAATAAATGAATTTCTCATTTGATAGTATCATTTTAAATCTATCCAATTATAAAATGGGTTTGAATGCATCAGAAGATAAGTATGTTATCACCTACAACATTTAATGAGACATCTGTCATCTTTCTCTTCCAATGCGGAATATTTCACATGCAATATGAACACGACTTAATTGATCATAAACATGCTATTTTGCTTTTAAAACTTTTTCATTCGTCCATTCATTATCGATTTGACAAAAAAGAAATTTACATTGCATATAAGTACCTATTAAATTAAAAAACTTTTAAATCACTAATTTTACCAAAAATTGGAAACAGTATTATACAATAGGTAGGTGACAGGATCGGTTAATTGGTTAAAATATAAATGAGTTTAAGAGGGAAAATGAAAATATTGAATGCATTTCATGGTTGAATTTTTCGGTGAAATTTTGTTTGTACACAATCATTAAGTGATAAGCGATAGAGATAGCATAGTATGCTTGTTTACAGCAAATATTGTTTATTCATTTTCTAATCTTTTTTCTCGCTTTCATTCTTTCATGTTAAAATGTTTGTTTGTCGCAGGAAACAGCGTCCCATTTAAGATTTGCGACTGTATCTCTGACGAGTGTCGAATTTATGTTGAGATCTCTGTCCCCTCATTATATGAAATACTGTAAATGAACTCATCCAAATCATTCATCCGTTTATTTCAATACAATTCAATTTGTTCTCCTTTATAATATTATGAAGCAGCACTTTCTTGCAACAAAATGAGAAAGTAATATCTTTGGCATTCCATAAAATTAAATCATTTGTTAAAATAATAATAATAATTAGTAATAATAACTATAACAAATATAATAACGATTATAAAAAATAATAAATAATAAACAATAAACAATAAACAATAAACAATAAACAATAAACAATAAACAATAAACAATAAATAATAATAATAATAATAATAATAATAATAAAAGAGTGGACAATTATAATGCCTAATAGTGATAATAACTAGTAATATTAATACTGATAAGACTTTATGAAGGACATGAATTTGGACAATTCACGATTATGATTCAAAAAACGAAATTTTCATGCTTAGGATTCTAGTAATAAAACTTTCAAGCTTAAAATTTATGTGACAAAATTTTAACGCTAGTAACGGAATTTCAAAAATTCGTCTGAGAATGTGTATTAGGCGAGCGATGTACAACATTATATGGAAATAGTTCTTTATCCTTTCTTCATCTTCCATCCAATTCTTCCCAAGCCTATCCGAGTTCAATCAGGACCAAATACCGAGATTTAAAAGAATCAGTCACAAGGATCCTATTCGTAGAACATTTATTGCTAAAATGGAAAGTTATAGCATAATGAATAATGAAATAATACTGAGTATAACTTCCAATTATTGCAACAGTACTACTCATTTAGAAATAGTGCCTGTTTAAAAGACTATGAAGATTAAATGTTGAAAATTTGATAATTAAAACCAGTATTTTAAGTTTAAAAGTAGCTATTAATTTAGGTTCTTTAATACCATCGAAGAATAGTGCTTTCGTTGAGGAACTTTTACCTTAATTCACTCTTACTGACACAGTTTTCATTTCGTTTTTGTTTCTTATTTTTATGCAAGATGATATGAATAGTTGCATAACTAATACGAATGAAAATATATGTCTTTTACATATGAATATTTTAATACCAACCAATTATTGCAACAGTACTATTCATGACACAGTTTTCATTTTATTTTTCTATTATATATTTAACTCATAAAAATATCATCAGCTATTACAGTCATCAATATTCTAATCGACTGACACACGTTTTCAAAACATTCCATCATATACTTTCACCCAACTTCCTATAATTGAGTTAACAAAGTGTCACAAATCTAAATTTGCACTAAACAATAAATGCATAAAAGTGCACTAAAAGGTAACGACTTGAATTAACAAAACAAAGTCGTATTTTTCATTATTCAAATTACTCGTTCACTCACTAACTGACTACAAAATATCTTTAAACCGGGCAGACAATGAGTTTCACGTTACGGCCGCATTAAAAATATAAGTAGGCCTTATTTTATAGTTGAAGTTTGATGAGTTGCATGATGATTTTAGATTGGAATTGATAGTTTGGTGGTTGGTAGGATACAGGCGAGTATGGTGGAGTTTTGTCAGGATAAGAGTGACTGAAAACAAAGTCTTACATTTCTTCATAATAGATTGTTATTCTAGTGGCGATTTACCAATGAAATTATAATTTTGATTCAAATGCTGTGGAACGAATATTCTTTATCATTAGAAATAGGTTCCATCTCTCATATGTTTCATCTTTTTTCTTCCTCCACAAATTTTTCGTGATATGCAATTTCTATTTTATGATGATATATCTGTTTTATTTAATTTACCTTTGTACTAAATCTAATGTACTACTCCAACGATACTTATGAGTAGTTCATGTAAAAAGATGTTTTACGGTACAAAATTCTGTAAGGTGCAGTAGTGTTGGATTGTTGAATTTTGTAAAGGCGCAGTCACTAAAGAATTTTCTAGACATGTTTTTGGAGTTTTTGGTGGTCTCAACCCTGTGTTTTGTTGCCACGTCTCAAATTCATGATGGATTTGTAACTTGTGGTTCGGTTGTGAAGCTAAAGAATAATCAGGAAGGTGAGAAGATCCATCAAATTTCATAAAATGGATTTAGGGATATAAAAAACTAGATGATAACATCGTTATCGATTTTCGGCATTCTTACCAAAAATATAACTCTGTATACTGCAAAAATGTTATCGTTACTGTTTGGCTATATCAGCTTCCAATATTCGATATTCAGGTGTTCGTCTGCATTCACATGACGTAAAATACGGATCTGGTAGCGGTCAGCAATCGGTAACTGCCGTACAAGATGGAGATGACGTGAATTCTCATTGGCAAATCCTTGCCGGTGAGTCTTATTCATTTACGCTACCTTAAGTTGAAAGACTATGTGCATTATCCTGTACATACGTGTGGTGTTTTGTATTTAATAGCATCTGAATAACACATTCAAAATTTTTGTTATGTTCTAATTCTGAATTTATCTGAATTTTTGTTATATTCTAATTCAGCAATGAAAGGAACTTGCAAGCGAGGAGAACAAGTGAAATGTGGCAGTAAAATACGTTTAAAACATTTGACGACTGGTTGCTATCTTCATAGTCATGCATTTGCTGCACCACTCACAAAGGAGGACCAAGTGATCATTATATTTTTGAGAGAACTTACCAGTCCTCGTTATGTGTACAAATATTTCATAAAGGAGAGGATAGGAAACGAACTAGTGTGCTACCATTCCTCTTTGTTTTTACTTTAAATAAAATGATTTTTTTGAAGGAAGTGTCATGTTTTGGAAATGTTGAAAGCGATTCAGGTGATAATTGGGTAGTCGTGTGTAGTAATGATGCATGGCTTAAAAAAGATGCTGTGAAACTAAAGCATGAAGACACTGGTTTGTTTTAGCATTCTCATTTGTTTATTTAAATATTTACTGCGCATAGAAGCAAATTGAAAATTTACATGTCTTTCTTATATATGGTGTGTCTTTATGGATCTCCGTTTTATTTTTTTGGATTTTACTGATTGTATTTTCAGTATTTGCCAATTTTTTATGAGCTTTAATTTCAGGCAAATTTTTGGCAATAAGTGGCAAACAGTACGGAAGACCTATAAATGGGCAGTATGAGATAGTAGCTATTTCCACATCGAAAAATGCAGCTTTTTGGAAAACGGCTGAAGGTGTTTTCATGATAGGTTCATAACGCCTTAAATAACGCAGCTGGAGTTTTTTGCATCGACTGAATAACGTAAAAATCTAACATTTCGCTATTAAATCAGTAGCTGTTGTATACCAACGATATGAGTATCATTTATTACAAGTAACTGTATATCTTGTTTTTTGGGAATCCAGTGTTCATGTTTTTTTATTCATCTTATTTTAGAAACTTTTACCAATGACAAACTGAGCTTTGTCTCTTGTTCATATATATGGATAGTAAGTTACACTACATTGATTAAATATAATAATTATCACTTCAGAAAAACGAAAGAAATATATTTTATATGGATATGGATTTATAATGTTTTAGAAAATGGGTATTGTAAATGAATTTGCCAATTTTTACCATTGGTTGTTATCGCTTTTTATTATTTCACTTCACTTCTAGAATTGCATTTGTTAAGATATTTTTTGAAGCGTACTTTACAAACCAAGTTTAGAAACAGCAACTCTGAAGTATAGAATAATAGTGATTATAAAGTATTTTTATTTAAAAATTTCTAAGTAAGCTGTGTATTGTGGGTTGCAACTATTGCTGAGATTATATTTTCGATTTTCTCGAGTCTGTATTTTTTGGAACTCGGTTACATTTCCATCAGTTACCGAAGATTTCGATAATTTTACATATACACAGATAGTTAATTTCAGACGCTTCAGGAAAAATTGTTATTAGTTGCAAAACCAGAGTTATATTAAGGATTTTGTGATATTTCTTTTAGTTTATCCATTTTGGATATTATTTTTATATTTTTGATTGTCTTGGGATTGTGGAATTGCAATGTTTGCTTTTACCTATTCGGTAATGAACTGTTGATGATATGCTCATGCAAGTCCTATTATTTGCTACCAATTCTTTTTATATTATTTATGTTTTTCTTGTTATTATTAACTTTGTTTACGTGAGAGCTTCAACTCAAATTATCTAAATTTGAGCTATTAACTAAAGTGCATACGGAATGTGAAATATTTTGTATGTGAAATGTTTTGTATAGAACACTCGTTACATTTCACGCTGTTCCCATGTAAACAATGACTTTGCCATTTGGTGCTCATAGTGTTCGTTTATATTTGTTTCTATAAACAATTGAAACATTTTGAGCAGTTTACACTTTTTCTAAATTAAACCGAATTGAACTGAAAAATTTCTACAATCCAAGCATAATAGAGTTAGATTTAGGAAATCGTAAAATAAGCTTGTTGTTGTCATATGTTTTTGTTATAAAGTGCAATATGAAATGTTGCTGTCATGAAGTATGAATAATAAATTTTCTGCAGATACTGTGTTTGGTAGCATTGGATTTTGCTTTCACATGTACTTGCTACATTATCTTACATATTAACTATGCCTGAAGAATCGTATTTTTTTAACTCTATTAATTTCATTTATTTGATTTATTTTTTAGAAATTTGAGAACGATGTCAACTGTCGCCGCAGCAGTTGCAGGTCCAAGCATTGTACAGTTCGTGCAGATAGATAGCTTGGTATTTTTTTAATTTACCATACGCTTATCAGATATCTCGGTTAAAATTTATTGAAATTTATTAGCTGAGTTTCTTTTCATACCGAGGAGTTGTTTTTGAGAATTTAAAAGGGAATATTTGCATGTTTTTAAAGCACTGCAGTGCGCTAAAATTTTATGCTTAAAATGAATTATAATTAAGGAGATTACGTAAATATTTTAGGTTGTCATGAAAATCGTGAAACACGTTGACTCAGAAATGTACGCAGGCTTAAACGAAGTAGCTGGTGAGGCATGTCAAGGGCTGTTAACTGGTTAGTTTTTTCTTTTTAGATAGCTGAATTTTTTACTTACAGCTGATTTTTTAACCTTTTATTTTCAGTATATTACTCACTAATTTGTTTGATGCACGTTTTTGATATGCTGACTTGTTTTCAATGTAAACCATAAATTAAGGTTTGGTGTCGAGTGATGATCGTCGTTTGGAAATCACAAATTGTTTTCCAACAGCCAGAGCTGAGCCCATGCTTGATGGTGATGAAATAGCGCAAAACAATGCATTTTATGAGGAGCAAAAACAGGCGGAAATGTTGGATATGCTTCGAAAATTCAGGTTCCATCTCTCTTTTTAAATTCTTTTAAATTCTCAGAAACTCAATCCCTCTAGAGATATATTTTTCAACATATAACTTGTTGCAATATTCTGTTATTGATTTGCAGAGATATGAATATTGACTACGAGCTAGTTGGATTTTACCAAGCTCATCCATTCGGCGCCTGTTTTGCTCAAGAAACAATTGATTCACTAATCGATTATCAAGCAAGTGTGCCAGATGGGGTTGTGCTTATTTATGGTAAAAAATAGTTTTATTATTTAGCAGTTGATTTTTTCGAAAACTTGAAAATTCTACGGAAGAACTAAATTAATAGTGGATTACTTTCTTTAAAATAATGTTGCAGATCCTGTGAAAACTCGTCAAGGACAGCTGAGCATACGGGCTTATCGTTTATCAGCAAAAGCTTTAGAAATGAGTTTAGATGGTGACTGGTCACCGGAGAGGTAATCTGCTTATGTTTTTATAGTTTCTCTATGGTTATTATGCACTGACAGAAATTTTATAAAAAAGAGTGTTATCAACTTGCTTGTTTTCAACTTCTCAATTCATTTTCGTGATTTTTTCAGTACAAGAGCAACGGGCTTGACATATGAGAATATGCTTGAAGAATTACCTGTGGTCATTAAAAACAGTCACCTAGTAAATGTGATGTTGGCTGAGTTAGCATTGGAAGGTGGTTGTGCAATTCAGCGATCATCCTCTCATCTCGAACTTGGAACTCGAAGGTTTCTTACTTGAAAATACTATGAAATGTTGAAATTTTGATTTTTCTTCATTTTCAAATCCATTGTCTTAACGAATCTTTTAAACTGTTATTTATTTCCGCTTTAATTTTCACAGATCTTTGGAAAAATGTCTTCGTTCGTTGATGAGCGATATTGATGACCTCAATAGAACGGTTATGGCGTATACGAAATATGTGGCTGATAAGCAGCGTCATGATTTAACAGTTTACAATGCAATGCAAAAAAGGGTTACTGACTTCAAATTTGTGTATGATCTGATTAACTGCTTGTCTAGGTAGCTTTTGTATCACAGTCCTCTGACCTGATGCTTGTTTTTTCTACAGCAGGCGGAAAATGAGCAACGTGAAGCTCGTGGTGAACCTCCACTGTCATTTGATGATATAAAAAAGATGAAGCCACCTCAATTAACAACCAAATGTGGGATGCTGGAAAGTTTTCTATGTTCATCTGATGCTAGAGCCCATTCTGACTATGCTGCAGAGGCTCGTTTATATTGATTATTTTCATTTTGGTTTTTTTTGAGCAAGCAGAAAGAAGTATTATAAACGAGACTAGTTAGAAGAGAATACTCTCAGATGGACTATTATTTTATAGTAATCATCATTTCTTATTCATGTTTTCACGGTATTATTATTTGGAATTGCTTATTGCAGAGAATTATTTATTACTTACTAAATCATAATGACTTCTGAAAATTTTCAGGTTACTAGTGAAAATATTGCAAAATTATTCTTGGCCGAAGCAGTAGTCGACTCACATGGTCCAAGGGATCGTACTGGAACAGCAGCGCGATAAAGTAGAATATGATTTTATTCTATGACTGACATTTAAATCAATTTTCGATTGATCATAATCTATATTAATGGTGATGTGAAATTTATTAAAGATTTTAAGAAATTTTTGTGACTTTTGGCATGATTTTTCAAAATAAAATCAAACTTTAAAACCGTACTTTTTTTCCATTAATTAATTACATAAATATAACTATGAAGACTATGATGCATAGCATGCAATTAAATTTATAATTTGAAGATTTGAAATTTTTTCAATTTGCTCATGGTTGGTTTTGGAACATGATCTCATCTTAGCCCTTTTTAACAAAGTTTACGTTTTGATTCGTGAACAAAAGGAGTTTAGAAATTGTGAAATAAATCAAGCGAAAAATTCCTCTCTGAACAATTATCCTCTTAGAAATTGAATTTATCTGACATTACATAGATTTGTATGATCACATCAATATATTTCTTGAAACTTTAATTCCATACATTTATAAAATAGTGGTTTGTGTGTTAGGAAAGAATACTTGTGGGTAGCAGCTACTTGACTTATAGGTCGTTACGTTCTTTGAGTAAAAATCGGTAATCTAATTTGGTTGATTGATTCAGATAAGTCATTATTTTAATCGCTTTTCCAAGCTTCCAGCTGTTATCATCCACATTCTCAAGATGCTAAACCATATCATCTTGTGTTTTAGAAAAACCAAAAACAAAATCTTTTGCTGTAATAATTTTCTTTTTTGTTCGTGATGCTAGATTTCACCCTGTATAACTGAAAATGCTTATATGGCTTCTGTAATTATCCAAAAATTGCTACCTTTTCCATTACAGCCGATAAACAGTAAGTTATTCTTGGACTGCAACTATCGAGTTCTTCGCGCATTGATGTTGTATCACTGATGCAAATTATTTTCGTTTTATCTTTTATCAATATTCTGCAAAATTCCAGCCATTATTAGATAGCAATGTATAGTTTGAATTTTTGAAATACTTGTTCGCTCTAGAAGATTCTCTATACGCCTTCATAATATGACTTGTTTTTGTTTTTTATGGAATTGTTTTTTTGGCGAGTGTGGTTTTTTGGACATGAACTATGAAAGGAAGAGATTTCTCATGAGATTTCTATTTTAAGACTTTTGTAGAAGTGCAATTTAAGAATTGAAAACTGTGTTTACAACGATCTATTTGAAAATTTCGGCATTAAAAAAAGCGTGAGTGTCGTTTATTGGCGAAGTTGATGAGAACGTTCTACTCTAATTGCTCCAATTTAAAATGTTTGACCCTCAGTGTGATTAATTACACCAGCGGTTTCTGTCGATTGTTGAACGATTTATGCAGTATTAACTTGAAATGATTTTTTTATATTAATAAAACTTAAGCAGGA